CACATTTAAAAAAAAAAAAAAAAAAAAAAAGAAAGACATATATTGATACCAATTCTACTTTGTCAGAATATATATTTCATACGATTCTAATTAAACTTTCAAATGATCCAAAGCTGTATTTATTACAAGTTCCACAAAGGCCACCTAAATTGTCTTGGTATTTTAGATATGTACAATTTGCAAGCCAGCTCATAAAAGAGGTTTTTTTTATTCTATTCGGAAAAGTTTGCTAAAACTTTTTCCAGAGAGAAGTCTTGTTATTACATAGATAAAGTATAGGCAAATTAGTTTTTGAATCTATCTTGTAAGAGCTCATTGTAACGTTATCCTTATTCAAAAAAAATGATTTAAACTATTTCTCCTTAAATTCGGCTATTAATTTAATTTGTTTTTTTGGCATTTCTATTGGCAGTGTACCAGCACCATAGAGATATACAAGCTTCGTAGCTTTGTATATAGTTTTTAATATTACCTATATTTTAATAGTAAATTGTATTATATTGTATTAATAAAAATTTTTAATGTAAAGCAAACATTTAACATCTTACGCCTAATTCACTTTGAAGTTCTTGATAATGAAAGTTAGATGCAATAATAGAAAGTATTTGAATTTTTCCTTTAGCCTCCTTTTATTAATATCTAGTATATTATGAAAACTATTCTAAAATTAACAATTTGTTGTAATATTACAAGGAGAATTTTGATCTTGTATCTAAAGTAATTCCCATTTATATAAGTTTTGTAAGGTTTGTTGATCTGCACAAAGATCTACTGCACATATCCAAAATTCAATATCTGATACTTCTTTTGAATATAGTGTAATATTTGTGCATCCACAGGCTTTAAACATAGAATGCCAAGTTGCTAGTTCTTTGTGTTGAAATGTAAAATTAGATGAGTATATACTATATAAAATTTGTAGTATCTGAATTATCAAACTTTGCTGTTTAATCCATTCTGTAAAAAGAACTTTCCAATTATTATTAGACATCGCAATTTTTCTATGTTTGATATGTAGATCAAAAATCTGTAATAAAACTAACTCATCATTCCAATAAAGTGATGTGCATGTTGTAGATATTTCTTTTTTACTCCATTTGTTAACAATTCTTGGACTTTTGAATCTTTTAACCCAAAAAGTGCAAAATGATCTTTATTTTGATGCATTCCATATTTTTTCCAAACATCAATTGGCATTTTACTAACAAATTGTTGTATTTCATTTTTACCTCTAAAAATCCGCAAACTACATTGTTATCCAAAATTTGCTATAAAATAAGATAGTACTCTGACCCGCAAATGATATTAAAGATAATATATAACCAAAACTAGCATATAAAAGATCTTTTCATAAAGAATATCTTATTTTTGAGACT